TCTTTCCTACTCTAGTAAAGGAGGAGTAAAGGCCACAGAGCGTAAAATGGTATGGGTCTGCAGTCCCTTACCTCAAAAATTCTAAAATCCAAAAATCTCTGAAAACTGCAACTTTGTACATTACTCATTTGGCAGCAAAACCTGACCAGAAATGCCATGAGGCTGTTTAGTCCTTATTTATTTCACTGGATGTGACTATTTAAATATTTTGCTGTATCAATAGACTGTGTTTAAGTACAGGTGCTTCCCCAGACCAGTGGGGGAGTTATAGCCTATCTGGCCTAAAGAGTGGACCTGTATATGAATGCCAGGAATTGCCAAATATTTGCTTTCTGAGTACTGAATTGTGTTTTAAACAAGCATGTTTGTACTGTAATCATTAAGGATCTGTTATTCACAGTTTGTGTAATTAATATGACCTGTTTTCTTAAATTAGAAGACAGTAATAATAACAATAAAAATAATCACTGAACTTTCACTGTGGACCAGGCAGTGTGCTAAACATTTTACATACAAGATTTAATTCTCAACACTACTCTTATAAGGTAGAGCCCATCACTCTCTCATTTTTACAGATGAGAAACTGTGGCTACATAGTTGTCCAAGGTGAAGCAGCTTGTAAATGAGCCACGAGTCTAACAGAAAATCTTTCTCCAGAACCTGTGTTCTCCTTATCACCATGTGGAATGTGGATGGCTTTCTGTGCTTCCTCCAGCTGGCTAAGGGCCAGTTTGATGAAAAGGCACATAGATCATTTCACCTGCTGTCCCAGCCTAACACAGACCCATCACCGAGGCCTGCATCAAAGATTTATTAGAAAAGGAAACTTTAGTGATGGAGACCAGGCATGTGACTTGGAAGATTAGAGGCAGGGTTGAGTTGCTGCTAAATAATTTTAATCCCAGATGTAAGTAATTTTGGGTTTAGGATGAAGATTGTCCCTGGGCTCCCATGGTTTATTTACTTATCATATTCTTTCATTGTTGCTTGTTCTGGAGTCAACCTGCCTCTTTTTCCCCATACAAAATTTCAATTGTTAGTGCAAATTACTTTATAGAGGTGGGCATCCTGAAATTAGTCATAGTATTCAGTGACATTTGTGGGAAGAAGAACATGACAAACCAAACAGAAAAAAAAAATAAGCGTTTTCTTTCCTTTTCTTTTTTCCTCACTGTTTCTCTCTCTCCCTATCACCTTTGTCTCTTACTCTGTCTCTCTGTGGCTTCTTATCTGTCTTCTTTTATTTTTTGACATGGAGTCTTGCTCTGTCACCAGGCTGGAGTGCAGTGGCGCAATCTCGGCCTACTGCAACCTCCGCCTCCCGGGTTCAAGCAATTCCCCTGCCTCAGCCTCCTGAGTAGCTGGGGCTACAGGCACATGCCACCATGCCCAGCTACTTTTTGTATTTTTAGTAGAGACAGGGTTTTACCATATTGGCCAGGCTGGTGTCGAATTTCTGACCTCGTGATCCGCCCGCCTCAGCCTAAAGTGCTGGGATTACAGGCATGAGCCACCGGGTCCGGCCCTGTCTTCTTATATGTTTTAATCTGTTAGTCCTAGTGTATACACTTTTTCTTCAGCTTTTTCTTTCCTTGTCTAATTTCTTATACGTGTTCTTTTTCCTTTTTATTTTAATTTTTTTCTCCAAGTTTCCCCTTTATTGCTTTTCTCATTTGCTATATTCTTCATTCATTGTTCTAGTTTCTGCTAATGTGGCACATGGGAAATCTGAAGTGTCTTATGCATAAAAACTTCAGACAGATATTTTGGTACTTGCTTATTTGTTGTAAACTACTCTGATAATGAAGTACATAAGTGTTTACTATCCTTCTTTAACCTTTATACTATAAACACTTCTATTTTATCCATATCATAATTGCCTTATTAATATGTCATGCCATTTCAAAGGAAATGGGTAATGATTTTATTTTTCTGGCTACCTTTTTGTAGAAAATGGTTTGCTACAGACCATTTGTCAGCCAAATTGAAGATGAAGGAAAGGGATTTAGTATTCCCCAGTTATTCCTGGGCTAGACTTTCAGCATTCAGTCAACGTGAACAACAGGCACAGTGCAAACCCCAGAGGGAGGCAGGAAGGGAAAGAGATTACCTGAAGGTAACATAGCAACAGCTCTTGAACAGAAAGCAATAAGCCAAAAACTGGGACAAGAGCCTGATAGCATAGGAAGAGAAAGACACAGGTACATCCACAGATGAATAATGGTTTTAGGTCCAGTGGCTCTTTAGAAAACTAAGGGAAGTATAGGGATAGGTTAGGGAGGAGAGAAGGGAAGAGGCATAAAGAAGGAAGCAACAGACAGAAGAGGTGAAAGACACAGCTAGAGCACCCTGGGTGGCACATTGAGGATCGTGGTGGCAACAAGAGCTTTGGAGTCTGTGAGGGAAGGAGAAAGCTGCAGTGACACAGGAGGAGGTGGCACACTTTGGCCTATTGGAGCAGAAGGAACCCTTTGGATTTCAGTTGCTTTAAAGACTACTGAGGTATGAAGCCGGAAGACACTTGCTGAATAACAGATGACATTTGGTATAAGATCAAGCCAATCCTCATTTTAGTAGCATCACAAGGCATTATGATATTCAAGTGGTGTCACATTAAAGTCAGAAAACATCATTGCCTAGGTTATGAAGCTCAAGCTTAACTTGTGCTGTAAGGTGTTCCAGGCGGTACAATAGATCTAGCTGAGTTATAAAGCTCAGGTATGCCATGGATTTCAAATTCTCCTGCTGGAAGCTTTGGGACATATGGTTCTCTAACTATATTTTCTCAAGAATTGCTTCAGTGTTTCACATTAAGACATAGCTTTGGAAGGACAGATATGACTGATAAGAAGGGCATCAAACCATCAACTCTGAAAGAATGTATCATGGGTTTAGAGTGAGATCATTCTGCCCTAGTTTTAAAATGATGATAAAACTGGTCTGTTTGTGGAAAAGCTTGCTAAACTCCACTAATAGGTGCCAGACTGTGGACTTTAAGAATAGATGGAATGTGTCTGTTCTCACATGAACTATAGCTGAACACAAGTTTATGTGATTGGAAGCTTTCATTTTCCTAGAGCTTATAAAAGTTTCATTTCTTTTTACCTATTGCTAAAGTGATCCATAGACAAAAGCACTGTTTCTCCTTAATGGTTTTTACCTTTTATTTTTTCTATTGCAAATAAAAATTATGTAACCATAATTAATAGATTCTAATTCTAGACAGTTCAAGAATTCACCCTGAATAAATAGAATCAATGGGAATCATCGACATCTTTTTAAACTACTTTTATTATTGTATTGACTCAGCTTAAGGATTGGGGTATTCCTCCGAGTCTAAAGGGTTTTGAGAGCAGATCTTAAGAAAGTCTTAGGGAAAACTGTGGTCTGGCATCAGATATGCAAAAAAGTATCATAATATGGTGTAATCTTTGGAGTGTGGACTGTGCAGTGGCTGTTATGGAGCAACTTAACTCACCTTCCTGCAACCACACAACCAAGTGTCACGTCTACAAATCATGAAGGAATGTTATTTCTTCAAGGTCAACTAGCCACCTCATTATTAGTCAGACAGGTAAAATAGAAGAACCTGGTAAAAATGAATTTGTGATACTGAATGACATATAATATTTCAACCGATGCTAGCTAAAAGACCCTGATGGAAGCATGTTGAATATTTGTGGAGGATTTTGAAGTGATTTGAGAGATGATGGCTTTGGCCTATGATAATATAATTTATTTTATATATAATCCTTAAATACCATGTAACTCTATATATTTTACTTTATAAGAAAAATACAAGTAACTCAAAACTAAGAACATATTTTTTTAAAAGCAAATTCTATTGAACACTTAAAAAATATATTTTTTCTCAGCTGGGCGTGGTGGCTCATGCCTGTAATCCCAGCACTTTGGGAGACTGAGTCGGGTAGATCTTGAAGTCAAAAGATGGACACCAACCTGGGCAACATGGTGAAACCCCCCTCGCTACTAAAAATACACAAATTAGCCGGGTGTGGTGGCACACGCCTGTAGTCCCAGCTACTCGGGAGGCTGAGTCAGGAGAATCACTTGAACCTGGGAGGCAGAGGTTGTAGATCATGCCACTGCACTCAAGCCTGGGCAACAGTGAGACTCCATCAAAAAAAACAAAGAAAAAATTCTGCACTTATCATTATGTGCCTACTATGTGGCAGGCATGGTACCCAGCAATTCTCAAACATTATTGCATAAGAGAGCTATTAATATTAAACAGCTCTCTGAGATCAGATATAGATATGATTATCTCTATTCTAGACATGAGGCTGAAACTCAGGAAGATGAAGCAGCTTGCCCAATGTCACACAGCTAGTAAGAGGCAGAGCCAAGATTCCAAGACAGATGTCTCTGGCTCCAAAGTCAGTTTTCCCTGGGCTATCTCTCCATAATTGCATGGGACAATAACTGGGCCATAGTGTCCCCTCTGAACCATGAAGGAGAAATTTGATTATGCTCAGGAGGTTTTATTTAAGAACATGCAAATGGCTTTAGTAAACTTTCCATTGTTTTACAGGTTAAAATGAAGTTTTTGTTTAAAAGAAGTTAGCTTGCATCTCACTTGGCCAAAATATGCTATCATCCTAGATTGCATGGGTTATCCAACTAAAGTATTAGAGTATAATTTTATAAAATATCTTTAAGGCTGGTTTTTAGATCTAATGTTATTTACAAATTTTTTGGTAACTTTTTTTTTTAAATTTTATCCATTGTCTTTCTCTTCCTTCAAACATTTGTATTTCATCAATTATTGATTTATATTTATTTGGGGATCTTTGTAAAATATCTATGTTAAATGTCAACCTTTTCCTTTGGTTATTAAAAGACGTTTCGAGAAATATATTCATAGCATTTTGAGTTCCAGTTAAATTGTGTAGTTTTTAGTGTATGTATATTTAAAGGGATCATTAGCTCTATGAGCAACATTGTATTCATGGTTTTTATCTCAATGTTTTGAAACTCAGGTCCCAAGTCATTTGCAAAGGCATTTTCCAGTGGCTTTCTACTTGGAGAAGTTCTATACAAGTTTGAACTTCAGGATGATTTTTCAGAATTTTTGGACAGCAGGTCAGTGAGATTATTCTTTGTTGTTGTTGTTATTGATTTGTTTTGAGACAAGGTCTTGTTCTGTTACCAAGACTGGAGTGCAGTAGCGTGATCATAGCTCACTGCAACCTCGAACTCCTGGGATCAAGCAATCCTCTTGCCTCGGCTTCCCAAATAGGTGGGACTACAGGTGCATGCCATCATGCCTGGCTAATTTTTGTATTTTTGGTATAGACGGGGTTTTGCCATGTTGCCCAGGCTGGTCTTGAACCCCTGGGCTCAAGTGATCCTCCTGCCTCAGCCTTCCAAAGTGTTGGGATTACATGCGTGCACCTCCACTCCTGGCCTACTCTTTAGTTTCAAGAAAAGTTAATTTCTTTGGCATTTGGAAAATCCAAAGTTAACTTCAAAGAATCATTAATCATAAGATCCCTTCCAAACCTCAAACACCCAAGCAGAACCATTAATATGGAAATTGTTCCTTCCTGGCACATACATTTTTTATTTTCTCAAGAGTACAAAGGAGAGACTGTTATGTGAGTGCAGCAAGACCTCATCTCTAAAGGGGACTTATTTTACACCAGATTTCTTCCTGTTTTGTTAATTGATTGTTCCTTCTTTTAAGAGAAGAAGTGAAACAACATATAGTGCTTTGGGTAGACAATTAGTATTATTATTTGTGGTTTAAAACTATAAAATAGAACTTAACTACTGATAAAAAATTCACAATGGTTTTTGTTTTTAGTGGCTATATTGAAATATAATTTATGTACCACAATTCACCTAATATATTCACATATTTAGTATCTTCACAACCATCACCACCATCTAAACATCCAGCCTCTGGCACCTACTAATCTACTTTTCTGTCTCTATGGATTTGCCTATTCTACACATTTTATATCAATGGAATCACACAATTTGTGACATTTTGTGACTGGCTTCTTCACTTAGGATAAAGTTTTCAAGGTTCACCCATGTTAGCAAGTATCAGTATTTCTTCATTTATATTTATTTTCTGAATAATTTCTATTATATGGATATACCATACCATATTTTGGTTATCTATTTATCAATTGATGGATACAATCCTCCTTTGGTATTGTTGGGATATTGGTTCCTGGACCCTCTACAGGTATCAAAACCCAATAGGGCAGCCATTAAAGTTTAAAGTTCCAAAATCATCTCCTTTGACTCCATATCTCACATCCAGGGCACATTGATGCAAGAAGTGAGCTCCTATGGCATTGGAAATCTCTGCCCCTATGACTTTCAGGGTACAGCCCCTCTCCTGGCTGCATTCACAGGCTGGTGTTGAGTGCATGTGGATTTTCCAGGTGCATGGTGCAAGCTGTCGGTGGATCTACCATTCTGGTTTCTGGAGGACAGTTGCCCTCTTCTCATAGCTCCACTAGGTGGTGCCCCACTAGAGACTGTGTTTGAGGGCTCTCACCCCACATTTCCCATCTACACTGCCCTAGCAGAAATTCTCCATGAGGGCTCCATGCCTGCAGCAAACTTCTTGAATGCTTTGCTGCTTAGAAATTTCTTCCACCAGAAATCCTAAATCATCTCTCTTAGGTTCAAAGTTCCACAGATCTCTAAGGCAGGAGTAAAATGCACCAGTCTCTTTGCTAAAGTATAGCAAAATCACCTTTATTTCAGTTCCCAATAAGTTCCTCATCTCCGTGTGGCTATTAGAATATATAAGTAACACTTATAACTCAATAATAAAAAGACAATCCAATTTAACAATAGGCAAAGGATCTGAATAGACATTTCACCAAAGAAGCTAACACACAACTAATAAGGAGACGAATAGATGCTCAACATCATTAGTGTATTATTCCATTTTCACACTGCTGATAAAGACACACCCAAGACTGGGCAATTTACAAAAGAGAGTTGTTTATTGGACTTGTAGTTCCACATGGATGGGGAGGCCTCACAATCATGGTGGAAGGCAAGGAGGGGCAAGCCACATCTTACGTCGATGGCAGCAGGCAAAGAGAGAGGTTGTGCAGAGAAGCTCTTGTTTTTAAAACCATCAGACCTTGTGAGACACATTCACTATCATGAGAACAGCATGGGAAAGACCCACCCTTATGATTCAGTCATCTCCCACTGGGTTCCTCCCACGACATGTGAGAATTATGGGAGCTACAAGTTGAGATTTAGGTCGGGACACAGAGCCAAACCATATCAATTTGTGTTTAGGAAAATGCAAATCAAGATCACGAGATACCACTTCACACCCACTAGGATGGCTATAGGCAGAAAGATAGACAATAACAAGTGATGGTAAGGACATAGAGAAATCAAAACCCTCATACAATGTTAGTGCGAATTTAATTCAGGCACTTAAAAAAACTGTTTAGGTGTGCCTCAAAAGGTAAACATAGACTGTCATACCCAACAATTCCACTTGTAGGTATACACCCACGAGAAATGAAAACCTATCCACGTGATAACACAATGTTCATAGCTGATTATTCCTAATAGCCAAAAAGTAGAAACAACTCAAATATAGTTGGCCCTCTGTATCCATGATTTCCACATCCATGAATTCAACCACTTGCAATTCAAAAATATTTGGGAAAAAAAAGTCACAGAGTTCCAAAGAGAAAAACTTGTATTTGTCACAAACTAAGTACTACATTGAATCCACAAGAATGAATTAATATGCAGGCATTGTATTAGATATTATAAGCAATCTAGAGGTGATTGAAAATATACAAAAGGGTGTATATAGATTATATACAAATACTATACTATCTTATGTGAAACCACCTCAACCTGGACTTCATTGTCCATATCACTGTCAGCATTTTGGTCACAGCCATTCAACAAGTCTCTAAGAAGTTCCAAACTTTTCAACATTTTCCTGTTTTCTTCTGAGCCCTCCAAACTGTTCCAACCTTTGCCTGTTACCCACGTACAAAGTTGCTTCCACATTTTCCGTTATCTTTATAGTAGTATCCCACTCTCTGCGGTACCAAGTTACTGCATTAGTCCATTTTCACACTGCTATAAATATATACCCGAGACTGGGTAATTTATAAAGGAAAAAGGTTTAATTGACTTATATTTCCACATTGCTGGGGAGGCCTCAGGAAACTTACAGTCATGGCAGAAGAGGAAGCAAACACATCCTTCTTCACAAGGCAGCAGGAGAGAGAAGAGTAGCAAAGTGGGAAGGGCCCCTCATAAAACTCTCAGATGTCATGAGAACTAACTCACTATCACAGGACCAGCATGGGGAAGCTGCCTCCATGATCCAATCCTATACCTCCCACCAGGTATCTCCTTAGACATGTAGGAATTATGGGGATTACAGTTCAAGATGAGATTTGGGTGGGGACACAAAGCTTAACCATATCCGCTGCTTTATTATTTCTGTTCTTATTGTCATTTCTGGACTTCTGCTTGTTTTGGGTTTAGTTTTCTTTTTGTAGTTTCTTGTTATGGATGGTTAACTTTTTTATTTTAGATTTTCTTTTTTAACATTTGCATTGATGGCTATAAATTTCCCTGTAAGCACTGATTTAGCTGTATCAGGTAAGTTTTGGTATGTCATTTTGCGTCTTTATTTATCTCAAATAATATTCTAATTTCCCTTGTGATTTCTTCTTTGATTCTTTATTATTTAGGAGGATGTTATTTAATTTCCACATACTTTTGAATTTTCCAAATTTGCTGTGTTACTTATTTCTAATTTAATTACATTGTCATTGGACAACACAGTTATTTCAATCTCTTTAAACTTAATGAAATTTTTTTTTGGTGAGAGGTTTCTGGTAAAACCTATAAAACCAGCTAGACAAATTCTAAAAGAGCTGCAACACTTATTGAAGCTGTTTTTAAGAATGGTCTAACATATATTCTCCTTTTGAAAATGTTTCATATGTACTTGAAGAGAATGTATATTCTATTATTGTTCAATAGAGTGTTTACAGATATCTGTGAGGTCCAGTTGGTTTATAGTGTTATCCAGGTCTTACATTTCCTTACTGCTCTTCTGCCTGGTTGCTGTATCTATTATTGAAAGTTGGAGCCAAAGTCTCAAATTGTTCTTGTTGAATTGTCTATTTCTCCCTCTAATTCTTTCAGTTTTTGCTCCATGTATTTTGTGACTCCATTGTTAGATGCATATATGTTTATAATTGTTATGTCTTCTTGAGGAATTGACCTTTTTAACAATATAAAATATTCTTAGTATCAAGTAGTACTTTTTTTTTTTCTTAAAGTCAATTTTGCCTGATACTATAGTCACTCTAGTCCTGTTTTGGTTATTATTTGCTTGATATATGTTTTTCCATCCTTTTACTTTCAATAAATTTGTGTATTTGAATCTAAAGTGTATTTTCTTGTAGAAAGCATACGATTGGATTGTATATCTGTTCTGCCAATTCCCTTTTTGTAATTGTAGTTATTTAATCCATTTATTTACAATATAATTATGAAGGAAGATTTGAGTGTGCAATTTTGATATTTGTTGTATATATGTTTTATGTCTTTTTTACTGCTCTACTACTGCCTTCTTTTGTGTTAGATATTTTCTAATACCATTTTAATTCCCTTATTGTTTCCTTTACTGTATTTTTTGAGTCATTTTCTTAGTGGTTTTCATGAAGATTACAATTAATATTTTAATTTAAATCAAATTATTCAGATTAATACTACTTTAATTTCATTAGTATAGAAAAAAATTTGCTCCAGTGTAGCTCAATTGTCTCCTCCTTTTTTTATGCTATTGTTGTCCTACAAATTATATCTTAAACCCATCAAGTCAGTTTTATAATTATTGCTGTATGCACTTAACTTTTAAATCAGATAAGGAGAGGAAAATAGTTACAAACAAAAATATATTTAAACTATTTTTTATGTTACTCTATGTAGTTACTTCTACTGACGTGCTTTAAAATTTATTCATGTGATTTGAGTTACTGTATATTGTCCTTTCATTTAGGACTTAAAGATTCCCTTTAGTATTTCTTATAGGGCAGGTATGTTAACAATGA